ATGTACTACATCCAAAACACAGCACTATACCAGTTAATAGGAAGAAAATCAACTCCATCCCAGCCGAAACCAGGACACATGCCTTCACATTTATTTGTTCCTTCAGCAATTTACTTGTCAAAAGGAAAGCCAAAAATGAGCCTAGTCCTGAAAATCCACCTGTCAAGCTCCTGTCTGTTGGCTCCATGGTGTTTTGGGGTTGTCGTTACCCACACCAGTTGGACAGCAGGAGTGCTCTGGAAAAGCTCACCGATATCTTTACCTTTTGACTGACGGAACGGGGTAAATTTCAGAAAGCTTTTAACCTTCCCCATCTTTCCTAAAAATGCTAGAAAAGGGATTTGAGATCACCCCAGAGGTAGTAATCTTGATTTTAAAAGCCTTAAAAAAAGCTCTAGAACTAGAGAACAAAAGCACTTTAACACATTGTATATTTATGCTTTTCGTAGCCAAGCTAGATAAAGCTTTGTCAATTTAGAGGAAAACAAAACATTTACAAAAGATACATTTTAAACAGTTCTGGCTCTGTGATGAGTGGCAGCCAGCGTCAGGGAGCTCATCTTTCGGGCAGCTCTGCAGCACATTGGTGTGCTATTGGTGAAACACGTTTGCTACCTCTAGCTAAACCAGCCCAGATATTATCGCTTAAGCGCTGTATCGTTATGTCTATTCCATCTGGTCTGATAGCAGTCGGAGCAGCATGGAAGGCACATACAGTTCTGAGTACCTGGATCATTTACCCGGCACGGGTATCTCTTGATTGTGCACAATGCAATCACTGTGCTGCATAGACTCAGTTGTTGTATCTCCTCACTGGTATTCCCTGAAAATTATCAGAAAATAAAGACAAAAGAGGAGTTAGTAAAAGTTTCCACCTTATAGATCTTGTTCACTGGTGGTGGGGAAACAATTAATGATGAATAATGGCCATCTACTAAAGGCTTAATGACCTTGCACACATAATGCTTTTTTAGATGGCAGTGGTGTATCATGGTAAACAACTCTTCACACTGCCGTAAACCCTGACTAGATTGTGATCATTGTTTTTGTTTTGAAGTCATGGTGAAGTATGGATTTTACCCAGAGACCTGCACCTTTTTGAAGCTACGGGTGTTTTTTCTCCAACATTAGCTGAAACCACAGGCTTAAGAAGTCGTGCCAGTATTTTGATAAAAGCCTGCTAATAGCCGCTGAAGTGTCCCAGATGCTGAGGCAGTGCCCAAGTCTAATGAGTGGGCAAATGTACAGGCAGTAATTAGCTACCATCTCGCTGACCCCTTCCTAGACGGAGCACATGAAAGCATTATAAGGGTCCTCAAAAACACTCCCATCTGAATATGGGTACTGCCTTTTGAACGGGAGCGCGATTTGTGCAAAGGACTAGGTCTGGAGAAGCCAGCGCAGGGCTACGCAGGGTTGCCAGGCACAAGGGAGGTGAAATAGCATAGCTCCCGGGGCTGCCTGATTGATGGCAGGACGGCGTCCTAATTCTGCAGCGGGAGAATGCCAGGGCAGCTTTGGGTCCTGCACTGGGTCTGTACGTCAGGTCTGTTGTGCGGCCTTGCAG